TTTTTTTTTGGGGGGACTCTGAGTTTAAAACCATCTGTCAAACAAAACACACAACTGTCATTGCTGCCCAGCCCCCCGCCATTGGGCAGACACAGTGGATGGGAACTGTTTGAAGTGAAAATATGAACATTATTTAATAACTGATCTTCTGTAATAAACCATTTGAAAATATTTTACAAGGAATCACACACACTATATTTTACAAAGTTTCTTGTCTTTTTTTGTTGCTGTTGTTTTTTCGGACTTGTCTGTACAAAAGAGAACAAAAAAAGGGGGGAGGGCAGAAAAAAAGGAAATGATCCCCCAGCCCCCCAAAGATTCCTCTGCGCCCAAGGTGAAGGGGCAGCTAGGTCAGGTGGGCTATGAGCAAGATCAGGCCCAGCTGGGGGTTGGACAGCTATCTGATGGGGATTGTTTTGTCTGTTTTTTAAACTTAAAATATATTATTTTTTCTGTATATGTTTCTTTAATTTTTATATTCTCCATTGAGCACCTGACTACACTACAGTTACACACACTCCCCCACAGGACATGGCTGGAAACCAGGCTGGACACCCCACCCTGGCACCAGCAGCGGGCATGGACCATACACACACACACACTGAGAAATCCACAAGCAATGTGACATTAATTAATGGGGCCATTAATTAATGCATCACCCTCCCCCCTCCTCCCAGTCCACCTGAGCCCCTGGCCACACACCCTGCTCTGTCTCCCACTGACCCCAGATGGAATGTCTTTGGAGGAAATGACCAAATGAATAACATGAAGACGTGTGCAGGCCCATCCTCTGTGTGTGTGTGTGTGTGTGTGTGTGTGTGTGTGTGAGGGTGTGTTTGGCCTCCTGAGAGCAGGGAGACTTATGTGCAGGAGTAGGAATGGGACAGGGAGTGGACACAGGCCTGAGCGTGCAGGGCCGGATTGAGGGTGGTGTGGCCAAGTCACCCCTGCTAAGGCAAAGGGTGATGTCTGGTGGGGGTTCCTCTGCCAAGGGGTGCAGGCAGTAGCATGTGGGCCCAGGGGGGACCCTGACACTAGTGAGAAATGGTTACAATGAGCACCTGGTGAGATGGGGGCACTTGGGGGACACTGGCAGCCAGAGGTGGGCCAGAGCACTCTCTTCCCTGGTCCCGGCATTTGGCACTGTGTGACATTCAGCTTTGGGGATAGGGACAGAGGGTCAGCTGGGCTGCAGTTCAGGTTAGCGGCAGATGATGAGCAGGAGATGGAGCATAAGGTGCCAGCACTCCCACTGATCCCTTCCCCCGTGTAAGGCTTTGTGAGCCCCACCCACCCCATCATGTGTGTGTGAGTGTATGTGTGTGCCGAGTACACACTCCGGGGTATGTCTAAAGTTCAATTTCTGCCTTCAGGGCACCAGAGTTGTATCTGACCTGGTGTCAAGGTGTCACTAGAAGGACTTAGGAGAGGGGAGGTGGCTCTAGGCCTGAGAGGGGCAGGTACCTTTAGTCAGGGGTGGGAGGGTGGTTGGCCCTCCCAGGACCTCTCCCTGCCAAGACTGAATCAGAGGCTCTCCCTCCTCCAGGTTCCTCTGGGAACCAGGGGGTGTGCAGGCCTCAGAAGGCGGCCTCCCCATCCTATCCTGCCCTCCTCGATTGCCCAGGGGTAAGGCGGGCAGCAGGGCCAGGCGAGAGGAGGCTGGCTGGGGCAGAGGGCGCCCCAGGGCCCGGTGGGCAGTGGAGGGCCTGGTTTGTACCAGCACGTGTGATGCGATCCCTGTCCCAGGCCTCGGGGCTGGGGTCTAAGTGGGAATGAAGGGGCCGGGGACACTGACTGACAGCTCAGTGGTGGGACGCGGCGTGGGGATCAGAGACCAGCGGCGCCCTCCTCTGGGAGCCCACCCCCACCCCCAGGCGCAGACGCTAGGGCCTGGCGCGTC